TTCATTAAGTGAATTCAAATTAATAAACAACCAAAGCCTTTATGGCAAGTGCTGTTGGAATAAATTCTAATACTTAAATATTATTATTATTATTATTATTATTATTATTATTATTATTATTAGAGCATATAATGGCGTGAAATATTCAATGAGAAGTTTTATTTATAAGCACAAAAAATTATTTTCGTTTAAGTAATTTTAAGTTTTAATTTAATTTTTTATTATATTTTATAGAAATTTGCAAAAATAAATGTTTGAAATTATTCAATAAATTTTGTTTATTTTATGCATAAATTAGTATTTGAAGAAAAATTTTAAAAATTATTTTCAAATGAAACGCACTGATATATAATGTTTTATTTTAAAGAATTAATTATTTACAAAAGTAATGCTTAACTGGTTTGGTCATCGTATTGTTTTTCTCGTCGTATTTATTCATTTACTAACTTTGAGACAATGTCATTTAGCTATTGATTCATTGTGGGACAAAGATTTCTACGAAACTACTAGCGATTCTGCTGATACTACTACTGCCACTACTATTACTACTACTATTACTACTACTACTATTGCTAGCACTATTATTACTACTACTATTACTATTACTAATGCCATTACAAGTACCAATGCTATTGAAATTCCATTTATTACGATAAATATTGATAAGGAAATAAATGAAACAATGATATTATCAAATGGATATTTAACATCCACCCGTGATTTTTCTACAATAATGGATAAAATTAATCAACGAAATGATAAATTGGATGAAATGAAGAAAATGAGTAAACTTGACATTTTTATTGTTGCAATGATTTTCATCATATTTGTATTACTTTGTATTGCATTTATTATATTAATTAAGCAAAAATAATTTTATAATTATTTCATCTCTTTCAAATGCAAAAATGTTTTTAAAAAATGAAAAAGAAATTATTTTAATTTGAATTTCAAAAATAATCTTTTTTTGTTAAATGATAAATTAATTATACAAAAAATAAATAAATAAAGCAAAATGGATGGTAAATTTTTTGAATTTCTTTAACTCTTTTTCTATTGCTATGCTATCTTTTACCCACAATAAACATCTAATTAGAATTGTTTCACTTAATTAAAGCTGTTTAATTTTTGACAACACTGAAAATTGTACCTAAATTCAGGTTTAAACTCCACCGATATCGATATATTCACAATGAAATTAATACTAATCATTAATACCTATTGCAAAAATTACATATATTTCAGCTGAATAGATCGTTATAGATGTCTTCAATTTGCTTACTGAAATTATTAATAATAGTATCAATTCTATTGATTAGTAACCTATAAATTAATTATCTTTGGTGCACATTTGCGTCATTCCAATCATGAATTTAAGTTCGGATGAATTGTATTCGAAAAGAATTAGTAAGTGTAATCTAGAATGATTTAAAAGTTGACGTATTCTATAACCGATAATTAATTGTTCATGATGTCGTGATTAGTCAGAGTGATAAAAATTTTCAAAGAATATCTTTTTTGTCTTTCAAAAATGTCTTTCAAAAATATCTTTCAATAAACTAATTTTACGTTGAGAAGGAATTCATGAATTCAAATTAAGATTCGAATGATCAATATTTATTAAGAAACCGGTAGCTTTTGCATAGCATTTAATTATCAGATTGGATCAGACCGGATCAGTGTACTTTTTTTGTGACTTTTGTTATTTTCTAATTCAATATTTCGTTTGAAACCAATCTAAATTCAACCGGTTTAATTTAATTAGTAACTGAGATTAAGTTTATAGCTTGCTACGTATCAGGAAGATCCTATTACAATACTACTAAAGGTTGCTCGAGCAAATTTCTGGTACAAATATTGTAGAAGGAATACCAATAAAACAAGCAGCTAGAAGAAATGAAATTTATTGCTATAGATTTAGTATAATTGAATAGTTTGTACCTGAGTAGGAAGTACGACTGAGTGGTCGGTAAATTTTATAACAATTCATCGGCTCCGTTTAACATCAAAACTTCTACAGTCTTTGTATGATATGAAAGTACAAACATAAGGGGAAAAAGAAAAAGGCCTTTCACTTCATTAATTATAACTTCAGATGATCGATAATTATCTCGAAATTTATTATTCCATTTACCATTTATCATATGTGTATCATATTCGGAGTCAATTTTAGTTGTTATGTGATAAAATGAAGAAAAGATGATCAATGTTGTGTTAACAACACAATTCAACTTCAAGAAAATTCCTATTCTCCTCCATTTTTGTTCTAATTGGATCACATAATAATTTGCTATAACGTGTAAATGGATCCAACATTGTTGCTGTTACTTCTGTCTGCATCAAAACAACTTTTAACGACATCAGTAACACTCAACCTCAAGAATTCCAGATTATCTTCTATTAGATTCAGACTAACTCCTACTACATATCATTTGCTAGATGCAAGAAATTTAATGATAAATAGAATGCGAATTTCATTGACACAACTGTAATTGTTGAATATGATATATTTAATTTCAAAAAAGATAAACTTTAAACTTTTTTAGATTCAAATTTGGTTTTAATAAATTCAATAAATTCAAAACTATGGTGATAATCAATTGAGATTTGTTATTGAAATTCATCTCGTAATACATTACACTCCTTCGCATTACATGCAAGAAAAAACCAGTCGTACTACTATTTCAAGAACTAGTTTCTCACTTAACAATTTACTAGGAACTGCGGTGATAATCAATTAAAATATGAGTAAAAGATCATTGAAGTTCACACATTTCAGCCACCAATGGCACACATTTCACCCACTAATGTGTCTCTCCCGATTTTTGCAGTCAATTTTATCTTTGAAAAACGTATATTTCAAGGACCACAGTTACCATCTTAGTGATTATATATTTATTCTTATGATCCTCAATCTTCTTTATCATAATTCCTTACTCTTTAACTGATAACTTAGAACAGTGAGGTAAAGAAGCAAGTACATGAAAGTGAAATCTGTTTACTTAACGAATTCTTGCTCATTTAAATGCTATTTCAAGTCCCAAAAGTTCCTTTTTTTAAGCATTCAAAAAGTGTAGACTTAAAAATTTGACAAACATTGCTATTTTAGTCGAAAATATCAAACTTAATATTACTCATCGATGTATCGTCATTTTCAGCATATAACGAACATTCTTATTTGAACATTTGATTAATATGTCAGAGTGATATAATAAATGCGATTAATCAATTTATTTACAAGGCTTTTAGCAGTTTATTGCTTTCTAGAAAATCCCAAAACAAAATCATAAATCAAGCAATTTTTTTTCGATTTAAAATAAATAAAAGTTCACGTAAATAAAAGCTTTTTTCCGCTTCGGAGAGTTATTTCGTAGGTTTCATCATGCAATTCCTGTTCATCCTTCACTCTTCTTGCTTATCATTTTTCGTAAGATGCAATTCTCTTGAAAATTAGACTTTAAAATTCCTAAATAAAGCAAGTATCGGATTGGATTTATAAGTTTTTTTTTTAAGAAACGGATGCATTTATGAGTGGGGAATGTTGATAGACAATTGATAGCAATATATATTCACAAAATTTGAAACATACACAGTTCACATTTACAACTTTCAGAATTTTATTATGATAACGTAGCAAAGCACGCAAACATACAGAAACATTAGATTAAGTAGGTACTGAAAGCAATTAACATCACAACTTTAACAGAATGCGAAGAAATGTCACAAATTTAAGAAAACAGCTATAACAGAGTATCAATAATTAAAAAATGACAAGCTGCCAGTGGCTGGGTGACAATCTCAAATGAAAAGATCAACAGGACCATAGTTCAGGACAATGTAACATTTTTTCAAGTCTTGAATATCATACGGAAGAAAACTGAAAGTTTTCATTTAACTTCACAAATAACAGAAACGAATCAGTAACTTCTTACAACCAAAAATCTACTCCCCTTGTCGCTCAATAATCCATAAAATCAACTAGAAGGGTCAAAATTCAAGCTGGTCGTAAACTTACATTCAAAATGTATTATAGAAACTGATGAAAGATAAGTTGTGAATGTAGCAAATTAAAAAATTTAGTTCATCCAACATAGAGTTAAAACATAATATATAAATATCGAAAAAAGCGCAAAAATCCACTACATATAATTCACCTCACTCCGCAAAAAAATTTACCCGATCCGCAATTGAATCATAAATTATTGCAACAATTATACTCATACTTTGAAATAATATAACATTAAAGAATAGGTTAGAAGGAATTTACTGATCATAAAATACCGGTATTTCAATAAAACATTTAAAAAGTGTATCCAGTGACCAGTTAAATAGGTACCCCTGAAAGGCTGTAGGGAAAGCCCCTTTCAGGGTTTATAAGACAACTGATAAATGAATATAAAAGAGTTGCCGAATGATCACCAATGTATGGGCAAAGTTTAATTAAAACTATGTTGTCACTATCAAACTAGAGATAAAACTCATCGAATTATAAGCAAAGCAAGAAAAAAATGATCACACAGTATTCTTAAAGAGATTCGACTCTCCAGACAATTGATAGAGCGGAAGAAACCACTACTTGCTATTTCCTATGAGTAACACTAAGCAAAAATTATTTGATTGTTCAACCCGAATGAAAACGATTGTGAATACCAGTTTGCAATCATGCATCCTAATTAGAAATGTTTTCGGGTAAAATTCCGAATCTCTTTGGTAAATCTGTTTAAACAAAAGAGTCTCAAATTTCGCATAAAAAAAAAGATTTCACCCAAATTTTCAACCAAAAATTTAACAATTCTACGTAATTTTATCTAGAAATACCTCCCATAGAAAGTACAAACATTCAAGGCAATGGTACAAAATAGACAAAATCCAGATAATCTCTCATTTTTAAGCTAGCGAAATAACAAAAATTTTACCACTGGAGGGATAAAACAGTTAAATACGATACTGTGCTGCAAGTGCTGTTGTTACAAATGGTTTGCAAAACATAATAGATACTGTTATACAGGATTTGTACCTTGAGGGAAGACTGCTGGAGGCATCGCGGCTGTTGTGTTAGTAATTGTGCTCGTTTTGTCACCTTCAATTATAACCGTTCTCAAGTTCAAAAGCAATCCATTTGGAGTACTGCGGTACAGCAAGATTGCCAAGTAACCACACATTGCTGCACAAAACAGACAAAGTAACTGAAAACTTCGAAAATCTATAATTCAAAACTAAAAAAGCAATATGATTGGAGAAAAACTGGCACCGAAATACCTTGAAGAACTTTCCATGTAAAAAGCTAGAAATTGCAATTACAATAAAAAACTTGCCGTGGCAAAAAGATAAACGAAGAAAAGGCTGGCAGCATAACCAATCGATGAAAACATACTAATCAAGCAAATCAGTGCCGAAATGCAGAAAAGGAAGAAAAAAAGCAGCGAATAGACGAAAAGCTGAAATAAGGAAAAAAAATTTCTTCTGAAGAGTAGTTTAAGGTGATTAGCAATAAATTCTTGAAAAAACTCTCACACACTCACTTCCTTATAAAATCACTTCATAATCCCATTTTTTAGTGGTAACCCTCCGATAAATGTTCTAACATTTTCACTAAGTATGTCGAACTGAAATCCGAGCGAAAATCATTGCGGATGCACAATATACAACAATTAAGCCAAAACTGATTTCGGAATTTTTCAAAATAAGCTATGGTGCTTGAAACTATTTCAGAAAATTTACGATAACGTATAATGTCTAGCTCTGTGAGAAAAATGAACTTACTAGAAGCGCAAATGGTATAAATGCGGACATCTGTCCGACATTCAATATTTGTCGTTGAAAACCAAGTAGATGGACAATCCACGTAAGTAAGCTGGCAAAAAACATTGTCCAAGCACAGAAAAACACAAACGATGTTCCACTGTAGTAAAACGGTGAGCAGTATAAAATGATCAGCAATATAAAGCAACCAAACTAAAAGAATATAAAGTTTGAAAAGCCTCACATTGAAAAATTATAGGTCAAATTACCTTACACAATTTCCATGTAAAAAGTATGAGTGAATTAAATCCAGTATGTGACACAAAAATGCTGATTTTCTCAGTCACGAAAATAACTCTAAATCTGTTAGAAAAGACAAAAATTATGAAAGGTTAATGTGGAACTTACCCACTGGGCAGTCATAACTATGCCAAATGGCCATTTCCTTGGGAACTCTCTGTCGATCTCGACCATTTCAAAAAAATCTGAAACAAATTATTAACGCGAATAGAAAGTTTTAAATACCAAACAAAATTGCAAGTTCGAAAAATACGCAATTTATTAAACAAAAAATGTGACCATATTTATAATGACTTCACCAGATAGGTAATATTCTTTTTTTGCGTTTCAAACACCACACAAATAAAGCAGTATTTTCACTTTGAAACTTGGATAAGTTATAAATTAATTCCTTTTGATACAAAGGCAGCCTATGTAATACTTCAAGCAAAACATGCTCTCTAACATATTTATTAAAAGCTCGAAAAGTGAAATACCAATCATTTGCTACAAGACTGTTAACATTTGCTTAATAAATATTTGTAGTTGATAACAGCAACCTCATCGCTATTTGCTATTTGTTGATGCATAAAAAGTAGTCATTAATCAGTTTCAAATAAGTACATAAACACAATGTATATGTTTACACAATGCACACATGAAAACAATATGTGAAAAGACAATAATAAATTTAGTAAGAAAGATAGAGAGAAAAATTCAAATAGTTAAATGGTTAAAAAGTAGTACAATCATCAAATGACTCATGATGTCAGATGCTTGGTTGTAACGTTATGCACCTATAACATGTAACATATGACAAGGAAAAAAAATAAATTAATCCATAAATATTATTAAACAATAAAACCAACGAATTCTGATCATAATAACAACAAACGCTTTTCATTCCGACCATTTCAGGTTAACAAAATTCTCTACCGCTCATTCAGGCTTCCTAATACACTAATGGTACCAAGGAGAGAAGCTCAACAAACATTTGAAAGAAGAAAGTGGTGTACTATCAGCAGTTAGAAATCGTTAAACGTACAGAGATACCGCGTAATACAGGAAGAGATAAAAGGAAGAACGAGACGAGTTCTCGTAAGTTCTCGTTGGAATGATTGCCTTCCGTCATTGAACGCATTGTGAAACTTATAATGTCTCCCTGGTCCTTATTTCTTTTTGTTGCATTAAGTTCTTGGGAAAAGTGAAAGATAGATGGATTATTAGCAGTCATGCTGTAGCGTTCACGAATAGTTCCTCCCGTAACTCTTTTTTTGTTACGTACGTGAAATGTTTATGAAATGAAAAATTAAAATAAACTTACTTATAGTCTGTCGATATAGCTTTCTATACGTTTTATGATATTTCTTGCAGATGATGGATGAATTATTATCAAACGATTAAATTGATAAGTCATCAAAAGTTAATTAACCGTTTTGTCTGTAATTACAAATTCAAGATGGATTTCCGTACTGAAGTTTGTACATTTGCAAGACCATCGGTTAGTATTGATGTGATTTGTTGCATTTTTTTTACTTTTCACTAAGGAAACTTGAATTTCACTGAGTGAATTTATTACAGGCAAAGCAAATTTTACAGAACAAGTTTAACTTTTACTGTATTAGAGTATTTTACATTAATTTGTTTGATAAAATGATTTGTATTGAACATACTTATAGAAATGTAGGACCAGTAATCATTTTCTCGAACTACAGGTCTCTCTGTAAGTTCGTTTGAGAAAGAATAATTTAATTCATCATTAAGCAAGATTTTTTCTAATATTAACTTTAATCAGTATTGTATGTAATTTGGTTTCTGAATAAATCCTAAAAGTAAATGTAAAATATTTTTTCCAAAATAACCATGGACTGGAAAAATTGTTTCTGCTTGACAGAACCGCATAAATTGATTAACAAAACATGATCTGATTTAACTGCTAACGTCATGACCTCTCCTTTGAGATTCGTGTGTAGTTATATGAAATATTATTTCATCATGAAGAGATTTGCTGTTTCATACAGCGATTAATATGATAATAGTAGCGATAAGGCAGTAATAATTCATATAAAATAAAGCATAAATGTTGCAAATCACCGATTCAGTGCTTTAGGCAATGTTCAAAACGTTACGACGGCTTCATGGTTACAATTTGGAAAATCGTGGTTTGAACGATCTCTCTGAAACATTTCAAAATTTTATTACACGTGCCAGGTTCTTCAGTATTGGGCGATTAAGGTAAGATGTCATTGGTGATTAGGTTTGATGTATGGTTGTATCTTACAAGTGGTAGACTGTAATAAATGGCTAGGATAAGTCGATAAGCATTAGTGGTATTTGTTGTTGAGCTTGTAAAATGTGATGCAAGGAATTATGATTGTGGGATATATTACATTATTTCATTACTGGCTGGATTCGAAGAGTCAAGCTTTGATTTTTAAATATTCATTAGGGATACAAACAACATGTTCTTTATTTAATATTAATTTATTGTAGTAGATTAGTTTTCGTGAATTTCTATGAGCTTTGTTTGCATGAAAATGTTTTTTTTTTTAATTTCTAAAACATTTAATTTCTTTTCTTTTAGACGTACATGGTCTCACTCGGCAGTCGAATTTTTGAAATACCGACGCTTATTACCAATGCTCACTTCCGATGAACAAGCAATTAACACCGGTGACTGTACGAATTTTTTATTAAGTCTATGGTTATAGTAGCTGGAACTATTTGAAGAATGTGCTTTTCTTCCAAAAATAGAAGTCTTGAGCAAAATTTCTTGTGCTCTTAGCTATTCTTGCCTATGTTTTATATCTTCACTTCTGTGGACTTACACATTTTACGATTGATATTTTGTGGATTGTTCCTACTGGAATTTGTGGAGCATTTTATAGATTCATTTCCTGAATTACTATGATTATATTTTTTTTATAAATTCAGGTGATTTAAATCCTAGTCTATCGGTATCAGGATCTTCGACAGGAACAAAAGAGCGTGGCAGTCCACATCAAAGATCCAGGAATGAAGATCGAAAAATTCTAGTCACAAATATTTCCCGGCGTGTCACGGCTAATCAGCTTAAATCGTTTTTCTCAAAATTTGGTCCTGTAAGTTTCTTCATTATGTATATATTTTGATTTATATACAAGTTTTTTAAAAGCGATCTGTTTGATTTTGTTCCGTTTTAAGCAGTGTTATGTCTACATTATGGCTGAACTGAATTATTTTATGAACTATTCTCATAGTATTTCGGTTGTCATTGAATCTAGGCATGTGTTCTGATGCAAACGATGTTGTTTTTCATCATTTGAATAAAGCTGTCAACTTGACAAAAATTTCAAATTATTTAATTTCTGTGGTTTTGCACTTGTTTTCAGTCTAAGCTTACCATGCTGCATGCCATAGCTGGTAGTACAGTGCTCACATCTTAATTGGAAATAATTCTTCGCTACAAATATTGCCTGGGATAGGTTATTTCGTCTGATGAATTAAGTATTTTTTTGCTTCATTTCGTAGTTTCCCGCAATATAAGCCTCTGGAAGAAATCTACTAATTTTTTTGCAGTTTAGCAAAAAGTTCTATTCTTTGCAGATTGCAATTTGTTATATAACATCAGAAGAACGCCAGTATTCACTTTATGCTACATTGCCAAAAAAATCTGGATCGAACTTGACCGCTTATATCACCTTCAAGTTAGTCGGGGAGAATGCTTCAATGATGTGAACTTAGATTTTTTAAAGCATCAAAAATTTTGCTTCCGTAAACAATTGTTAAAAGTATGAAAACCTTATTTCTCGTTAGAATTTTTGATCTGGTTTCATTTTCATTCAGAAGCATGGAGAGTGTAGAGCGAGCAAGGAATGCAGCTCCGGATGAACTGAGATTTTATGATCAGGTGATGTTAATATCGCAGGCAAGCTTTTTTAAACATCAAGAATTTTGTCTCAATTTTTAAATTAAAAAAGCTTTGAATATATCATATTATATTGTCAATATTTTTGAAATCATTAGCACTATGATTTTGCAGAGGATGCTGCAGTTAATATTGATAAATCTTTTTCCACGTTTCTTATTTCACATACCCGTTGTTACAATAGGATGTCGGGAACCTTTTTTTCAGATCTTCATTTTTTAGCAAGCATATCTTTTATTTTAATTATTTATAAATCCCCAATTATGTTGATTCCTTTAGTATTGTAAATAAATTTTCTCGTAGGTGTAGCTCGTGCTTTTATCAGGAATGTTTGTTTATGAAACCTTAGTGAAGCTAGCGTTGAAAATATTGGCAATGCTACTCCTGAAGTTAAACATTTTATTTTAATATTAGTACTGACGACGGAATAGACAGAGCCACACATTGGCAACAAATTCAGGAAAAATCGGCAGTGATGAAAATAATTGGCTTATATGCACACAATGCATAAAAATATGCGGAGATGACTCGGTAATAGAAAGTATAACATATTCCCTGCTAAAATTTCGCCTTTTTCAGTTATCAGTCAAAAAAAAGAATATCACAGGAAATTCGGTTGAAAAAACAGGGGTCTGTCCAGATTCAGGTATTTCTTAATTAATATTTGCTGCGAATAAATTGTACTTAAAATAAACTGTAATTTTTTTCAAAAAAATCGAAACTGTATGTAAATCATTTAATCAACGGTAAATTCTCATTTTCTCTATATGGGTTATAGCATCATAGCCCTTACTTGAGGGAAGAAGTAGAAAAGGAGGAGTAAGTGTTTAAAGAGGATGAAGGATATTTCGGTCCTTTTCGATGTCTTAAATTCAAGAAATGTGCTAATAGAATGACACCTGTAATAGTTGTATTTACCGTTAGTTAAAATTCTACGTCTATGATTTAATTATTTGTAAGTTTTCCAACCAATTGAATTTTGTGGTACAAATAAACGTTTCTTTCTTTAGATATTATTTCGAGTAATGCGACAACGATTGCATCTCGAAGCACAACATTATGTACATTAGCGGACGTTGCATCGTTGGTTCGTCTTTTATTGTTAAAAATAGAAGTTTTCTGTCGTATTTTTCAATTCATTTGTTATTTCATTCTTTCTCATTTTTGCTAAAAGAAACTCTCATTTTCATTTCATTCGCTAAAAGACAACTTCTGGTCATATGCTACATCATATCTACACCATCAATAAAAAAAGGGAAATAGTCGACTAACTTCTTTATTTAATCTATCCAGTGATTAAGATTTCATCACTACTTATCCGATTATCACTTATCTGTGCTCTAGATTTTACAAAGAAAGAAAAAAAGATTTCATTTTCTTTTGGAATTCTTAGATTTTTACCGTTAACTGGAATATTTTTAGTTTGCAAGTCGATTGTCACTGTCAGTATTGCCGGCAAGGGTACTTACATTGATCTTATCTTTCTTGCCACCGATGGATAGAATTCGATTAGAAAGAGTAAGCAAAAGCTTTCTGGAATCATCCATCGAGGTTCCTTTTGTCATTTTTTTTTCTTTCTATTATGGCAGTCTGTTTGTGTATTCTTTGCATGATACATTAGATGTGTTGAATATGGTTGTAGCTTCTCTGCTGGAATCCTTACTGAGAAGGTAGAACTCATTGAAATACATTCAATTGCATTATTAGTCTTTCAAGAGCACTTCGAAGAGTGATAACGCAGTTAGGTTCTAACAGTATTTTCAGAAATGACTCAAAGAAAAACCTATTGATTCGTTTTAAAACGCTCATCGAATTACAGAGCTGGAAATGGAACGATAAATTATCATTCTCAAATGATAGTAGTTTTGGATGCACTTTCTCATCGCTAAACCCTCTTCGAAATATTCATCTGAAAGTAACTTATCATGTGTTCTCTAATTTTTTTTACCCTTTTTAACTTGTTTTATTATACAGTTCTAAAATACACTGTTTTTGAAAATTTTTTGAAAAAATGTCTATATGGTCTACAGTGAGCAGCTTTTTAAGCAAAAAAAATGCATAATCTCTTTATTTATTTAATCTTCCATGAATCTTTTGAATTCATATTCAAATTAAGAGGAGATTGATGGTATTACAGGCACTTTTATCTCGTTGTGGCGTACATTTGAAGTGTTTGGATTTATCCCGAGTAGTACATTTGCTAGATGAACAAGCTTTTCACATAATTTCATCTTCATGTCCAAATTTAGAAAAGGTAAATTTCAAGAAAGACTTTTCTCACTTCTTTTACCTTCTAATTCTTGGATTTTTGATGGAAAGAGAGTCGGACTGAGAAGCCAAGTTCCAAATGTCGCAATTTTCCTTCTTTTGAAGTTTAGTTCTCTGTTCGACCTGGGATATCAAATTATGCATTTAGTTTAGGTGGATTTATCAGGGCTTGGTGGTAACTGGCAAACAGTGCGTACATTTGGTGAGCCACTGAGGAATTTACGGTCTGTTACGTATAGAGATATGGTAGATGTGAGTGATAAGACAATGTGGTACTTGTTCAAGCCATTAAGTATGAATATGCATGAAGTTGATCTTCGAGGTTGTCAACGATTCAAAGGTCGTTGCTTTCGGCTGTTTGGAAACTCTTTGAAAAAGGTGAGTTATTGTTCTTCAAGAATGCGAGCATATATTTGTGAATCAGAACATACTTCCTCTTTCACAAGTGACATCCGCTGTCCAGTTTGGAGCGAATTTTTTCTTTTTCACTTTTAACTGAATGAAGAAAAAATTGTAAGAAATTAAAAATGTACGTTATTAAAATAACGGAGGTTTATAAATAATCTTACTTTCTTAAGAACATGGAGAGAGAGCGCAACGACTAATTTGAACTTGATATTGTTTTAATATTTTTCCAGATTTTGCTTGATGGTTGCTATCGTCTGGACAAGCAGTCACTGGAAGAATTGTGTCTTAACTCGCCGAATGTCACTGAACTTCGATTAAGTTTCTGTCAGTTGGTTTCCGATGATATACTCAGGTAATTGAAACTAAATTTTTCTATTTTTATAGAAAGTGCATGCAATGTCCAATTCTTATTTTGGCAGCCAATTGTTTCATTAATGCACCGAACAATTTAAATCTTACATTGTTTCCGATAGCTCCCTTTTGAAGGCATTAAAACATGTTTTTCTTAGGTTACAGAATTTTCTATCGTATTCACAACTAATTTGGTCGAATTTTTTATCATTGTGTTAGGACAGATCTTTAACACTAAGAAATTGCCAAAATAATTGGTTGTGGGATCATCAGACTTTTTATCAATAGTTTTCAGCTATTGAAAATATTTTGAAAGAAGTGTGAAAATTGACAACTGAAGGATCACGTCAGAAGACATTGAAAACTTTCTCATTAGTAAATACTTTTTATTTTTATGACAGTACTGACATTATTGACCAAAGAGGCTAGTAATAAATCAAAAAATTGTGTTATACAAATTATTGAAGTCTGTATCAAATTTCAAAAAAACTCGACTTTCAGTTTGATATCGAGAAGCTTAACACATTTAAAATCGTTTGCTTTATGTGGCGATTGTTTCCCGGACCTAACTTCAAATGGTCTACTAGCTGTGTTACGTTTGCATTCTCTTTGTGAGCTGTCGTAAGTATTTCTTCTTTTTATGGAAATTTGCTGAAATTTCTTGCCTAGAACAAAATTGATTCTCTCTAATTTTAACATCAAAAATTTTGACTCACCGTTTTAAAATTGTCATTTTCTTTGATCATTTTCGCTAATTCACTGATTTGGACTTCAATAATCTTGAATTAAAAATCAGAATTTGATTTAAAAACTAGTTAAATTTTAAGCCACTCATCAAATTTTGCTTACAAAGAAATTTTAGACTAGATTACAATTCAGCGGTGTCGGATGAAGTGTTGGAACAAATAACTGATAACCTTCCACATCTGCACATTCTTAGTCTGGCATATGCTGGTTCAGATGCAACGATAACTGAAGAAGTTGTCATGAAGATTGGAAAATTGAAGAAACTTCAAACAGTACGTCTAAAATTTAAATATTATAAAAAATAAATAGCTGCTAACTTGATTGGACGTTTTTTTTTGTTTCAGCTTGATGTTAGCTCACTAGCAGCAATAACAGATATGTCTTTATCGGCAATTGTTTGCGGTTGTTCAATGCTGCAGACTATTCGCTCTCACTGTTGCACATATTTGGGTGATGAAGGTGTTTGTTCGTTAACAACGCTGAAAAATTTGGAACATGTTGATCTGAGTGGATGTCTTCTTGTTAGTTATCTGGAATTTTTGCTCGATTAAAAAATAATTTTTAATCTTGATTATATACATTTCTTTGATTGTGGTAATCCTAGTTATTCCGTTTTTTTTTTTTTCAATCACTTTTACTTTTTCTTTCTAAATCGCAGTAATTGTAATCTATTGTTCATCGTTACTTTCACTCCATGTTTACATATAAGACCAATAAGTAAATAATAAAATCATAATTATGATTGTAAGAGTGATGGTGGATAAATTTTCAGGTAACTTCGACTGCCATCCAGGCATTGCTTGATGCTTTTCCACCATCTGAAAATTCTCAAACATTAAAGGTTACCACTTTATTTCCACCCTTAAAATTTATTTTGCTAGATAACATTTTGACTAGAAAGATTGCTTTATTTAATGTTTGTCCGAGATTCTTACTGCATGCGGTTTTACGTGATGTTTTTTATCCTTTAGTTTTTTGCTTTCTTTTATTTTTCATTAATCGTTAAAAGAATTTTTTCTGTAAGGGCAAAAAATTTTCAGTTGATTACAGTGGTTATTGGAGGAACGATATGTAATGTTCAGTTCTTACGCCAACGTAATAGCCGTGTGGTATTGGATACAAGTGATTATAGTGTCGCGTGTAGTAGCACAACAGAACTTTTTTCAATTACTCATGGATTTCTTGGTGTGTCATTGTTCAATATGAATAAAAAAGATGTTGCATAATTCTATATTTAAGAAATAAGTGCAGAGAAGAGCAGTTGTTTGAGAAAAAAAGTGATTATATATAGGAAAAACATTACATGTTATACAAAATAAATAGCAGCGTATGTAAATTTGTCAATTACGAGTTATTACCAACCGATGGAAGATCCAAAATAAAAATTCAAAAATAAATGGTTTTGATTGTGGTTTTTTTGTGGTTTTTTTGTTTTGTTAGATAGCGTCTGGCGTGCTGCTACGCCCATTGCCACCGCTGTTTGCAGTCATTAGACGTTTCCGCTTAATTTTCGCTTCGCGTAATTTTTCGAAATTTAATCTCGATTATATCTTAGGTGGGAAGAATAACTCGGACGAAAGTTCATCGGACGACGAATTTGATGCATTGGCAACTCACCGTAAGATTACTCTTGTCTTATATAGCAATTAATTAATTTCTGTTAATCATTTCTTTCTCCTTTTTCCATTTGGTTCATCGTGATGGAGTTTGATGTTAACCGGAACTTGGACGGAAAGTTTAACTAATTGTCAAAAGAAGAATAGCTTTTCTCATTTTTATCTTCTATGTGACTGACATCCGAAATGTCACGTTCTTCAATGTTAATCACAATTGTACATCTAGTGCTTTTTTACAGCAAATAATTTAACTCTTAATTCTCGCACTTTTTATTTTATTTTTATGGTTTTTGCTTTATTTTTATATTTTATTACTTCGTTCTATTTATTCGATTAAGAAGAAATTAAGAAAATGAAGTAGCTTGCAGGTTCACTCATAATAGATGCGTTACGCGATGTGGAAGATGATTCACTAATGGAAACACAAGAATCGATTAATGAATGGGCCGAACGTGAAGCTCTCGATTTAGGCCTTATAACTAAATGAATCGTTTTGGGGTTTGGAGTTGTTAAGTTTGTTTTACGAGAACTTGTCTTCTTTTCAGAGTGTATGTTTTATTTGTATTTTGTTTATTTGTATTTTGTATGTTTTTTTTTTATTTGTTTATTTGTAGTTATATTGTGTTCGTCTTCCCATCATTAACCGTTGTATTATCTCTTTTTATATTATTTTCATTCTTTGAAGTGGTTTCTATAATAAAAGAAAGTTTGTTTTCTCTTGATTTTTTTCCTTTTCTCCTGTATATTTTTTGTTAGTTGAGTTTTAATAATTGAGTTCATTTTATTCATTATTCGTGGTAATTTTGTATCTCGCTTGCTCTTCTAGCAAGAATTTTGTTTTTCTTTTTTTTATTACTCCATTTACTATTTTGAAGGGATAGAAATGTCCGGTTATTAGTCCGAAAACATCATGTTGCTAATTTATTTTTGATATACTATGTCTATGATTGGCTAGCATTTTTCCTCAAACGATTTCTGTCGTGTTTTTTATTTTACTTCAATTTTTAACAGTGGCCTTTTTTAAAGCTCTTTCTGATTTTTAATCTTATCTTTACTTGGATTTTGCTAGATTTTGTGTAATTTGGAAGAAAGAAATTGGAATATTAGGTTGTTTTAAGCTGTTTCACTTTCCTTCTTTCTTTAATTCAGACGAGCCATTTCCTTAAAGACTGTTCAGTGTCCGTTCATATGCTTTTTCCGGGAATTATCATACATCCAAATAACGCTTGTGTTGTTCCCAAAAAGGAAATGCTTTAGTTTTTGCGCACTATGGGTGCTAACGAGTGATATATTACATATTTGAATAATTATTTGCTTTATATGCACTGCTTGAAATGGTGTTCTTATTTATCATTTTTCGAATTCATTTTAAAGATAGCGATCTTCTAGTCCAGTAATAATTCTAAAATTACATTAGATGATTTTGTAGAATAAAAATGAGGATAAAGGGACATAAACGGATTAGTATCTTGATATCGGTAGCGTAATTTCCATCAAATGTTATACGATCATATAAATATTAATTATTATAACTCTTATATTTGTAACATTATTATTCTATCAATAAGTAATACATGAAAAGTTGTATAAACTTTTCGAATTGAACTATTTGTCATATAAATATTATTCATAATTGATTAAAATTGTCATTTTTCGTTTTTCTATTTTCAATATAAGGTTGTGTGTTGGATAAACAAAATGTGTTGCATTTGTTGGTTTTTGTTCCGTCAAAAGGAACCAAAAGTATGCCGAAGATGTGGTGAAAAAGTATGTTTACTTTTTCGATGTTTCTTTATTTAAAAAACTTTACGATATGAAATTTAATCTGACTGTAAATAGTAAAAATGAGAATTTGGAAATTTTGTTAGAGAAGAAGAAAGAAAAGAGTGAATGAATACATTAGTACTTTCTTTTTTTATTTTTTCTGTTTGTTCAGTCTTTGCTATCTTAAAATAATAATAGTGTACTGTTTAACTAAATGATATTACAACACGGCTACCTATGATATCCAATCTAAAATGACCACCTAAAATATTTAGGTTGTTGAAATGCGATTCACAAAACTTGGCTTCTTACTCTGTATCGGTGGTTCACTCTATTGTTGCATTGGATTTTGTTGTCTAATGTTAACCTCTTATCTTTCAATGCTTTTTTTCCTTTGCTAAAAATACATTTTTATTATTAAATTGATTAATCTTCAAAGTTCTGCTAAGAATTTCATTAATTTTAAAGATCAATGCTAAATTTGAATGAACAATTAGAGCAAGATTTAAATGAAGAAGATTAGCTAGAACAATGAAAGCCTATTTTTGAAAAAGATTCTTAAAACGAGATAGATTGAACAGCTGTATTAATTGCAAGTTAGTTTCATTTAGTTTGTTGAGAGAGAGGCATTGTCCTCTCTGCTATAAAAAAGATTTCGAGAAAATTGCTCGAGTTCGACGACGAATTCAGTGCTTGGTGGATGATAAATCTGAACTGTATGTTAGTTTCGTCGGACTTTCTAAAAAATTAATTTAAATTCGTGAATCATCATTGCCAATTTAAGTTTCGACATGATTCGATCAGAGGTGAAATTGATGCTGTATTTCCTTCAGCACTGCTTGATATCACTTTAATTTATAAAATTTATTAAAAAATCTTTTTTTATTTCGTGCTTTATCATTCCTACAAAGATAAAAACAATTTGAGATCCGCGACATCATGGATAATTTAACTCTGCCATTCTATTGGTTGTTTAAAAGTTCTATGTTATTTTTCAGCATAACTGAAGCAGTGGAACGTCCTGATTCATAGTGTTGTTCATTGAAATTCTAAACGAATGTGCGAATTTTTTACTTCTAATTGAAATTCTAATTTTACATTCTTTTGAAAATTCATATCATATGCATCTGTGTGCATGCCATAAATTATGATTTCCTTAAACTGTAATTAATTAATTAATAAAAATTAGCTCAAATATCAACGATATACTTCTTATGCTATTTTATAAAGAATATTTACAAACCGCAGATTTAAATTTAATTGACCATAATGCGTTCATTTATTAACTAATTCTTTTTTATAACGACGAATGATGCTGAAAATTTTGATAAATGGCTTAGAGATGTAGAAAGCAAAATTATTGTAATTAGAGTTCTAATAAGTTAAATCAATTGACAAAATATCTCATTCATTTAATTCAATCTTAGCCGATTCTCATAGGAATTCCTATGTGAAAACACATCACGATTTAAGACTGAATCAAATAAAAAATTCGTAGTTGCTAAAATTATTCGTTGGAATTAAATGAACTCCATTCATTATCCTGAATTTAAAAGCTCAAATGTTTTCAATTTTTGAGACTATGCAAAAATTTGTTATAAATTCTCGTAATTTAGACAGTATACAGTTATACTTATAGATTTCAAACAGAAAGTGAGACTTTTCGGAATTTTAGAATTTGTATTAGACTAGAGTTGGTTGGGTAAGACAATAACTTCTAATTTTTGCAAATCTGAAATTGAAATAAATTTCTAAAAACTTATTTTTCAGAATCTTGAAGAATGATAACTCTTCTCACTAAACAAAAAATAGTATTTTGTTATCCTAGTGATACAAATAAAAATATATCGATAAAGAATGAAAGAGTCTAATCATTAAAGAAAAACTGATAAATCTAAGTCAAACAAAATTCAAACTCCCGCTGTATTAGATTTCACGGACCAAGTCGTTTTTGCCAGATGTGGTCTGTAAATTTTTGAAGTGAGAACGTTGATGGGAGATTTTTTTGCTTTTGAGGAAGTTGGTGGGGTTTTATGGAACTAATTAATTTCTCTCATTTGATCATTTAATATTGTCACAGGTCAGTGAATATCCTGCATGTATATATGGAAAGCCAATATATATATGAGGATGCAATTGCTTTGTTAACATTCTGATTAAAGTTTTTGAAAATTAATTGCTGAGTGGGGTAAAAGTGCATTGGGAAATTTATATTTGGGCATTTATAATTTCTCTCCTATTTGTTCTGCACTTCTATTCTACTTTTAATCTGGGAATATTTTAAAATTTGCTTTTCACTTTGATTTTAAAATATAACTGCACTTTGTTTTCAGACATTTATGACAGCCAGATTAATATATTGCAAGACCATATGCATAAAACGGATCACAGCGCCATTTAGGGTGAGCTTTATTCTTCATTCATAAATTTGTTTTTGTTTCGTTATCTTAGTGAAATATTTGGCAGAGGTAAACGTCTATAAATGTGCTCATCATTTATCATATATGCATTTATATAAAACGCCTTCACATTTCACGGTGAGTTCATATACCTCACGCTATGTTTAACCGCTCATTTTGCATTCACACATTAACCTGTAAGCATATTAGCAAATCTTCTATAAGCAGATTATCAGTAAGTTTTTCCGAAGTGTCTATTTTTCTAGATACCAGTTCAAATAAATCCTTCAATAAAAGGAAAGGCGGCAGAAAAGTTAAGATTGTCTTTTTTTTCCTCAGAAAGACAAAATAAATGGATTTTATTGTTGCCGTGATAGCACAGCTACTGTCAAATAGAATACAATAGACAGAGCTAAAAAAGGAAAATAAGCTTACTTCTTTTTTCTTTTCAATTTCAACTTGATTGTGGTTGGAAAAATGGAAAAGTACCGTGAAACATGACTATCATTTGGTTGCTCTAGGCAACGAACCATTAAAGACTCATCAAGGTATTGCTTTTTGTTACCCCATTAAGTAGCAGCGATCGCTAACCGACGCTTTTTCTTGAATTCATAGAGGTTATATCGCATATGTATGTATGCATGTGTGTTTATATATATTTGCTTGTGTATGTTTCTATGTGTTATGTGAAATCACTGCTTTTCTTCGTTACCGTTTCTATGATCATATATTATATAACTTACCGGTAAATAATATGTTTGTTGCCGTCGGTTGCAGCAATAACATTTATACATTTTATCTGAAAAAGAGAAAGAAATGAAGAAATTTTAAAACTAAAATAGAAAATTCAAGAAATAAGCAAAAGAAACGAAGTGATAAGCGAGTTTTTGGAGTAATGTTAAAAGAAAAATTCTGATATAGTAATATTTTTCCTGTATTATTCCTGCATACAAAGATCATTTGGTTATGCTGATCGATTAGATTTTAATGTTCGAAAGTGTTCGCTATTTGATGTTAAGTTTTGTTGGAAGATACTAAATTGATTTAAATTTGATTACTTTAATTATCTCTCATGATTATATATTAGAAATAGGAAATGCAGGGTTTCTTTTTAACCTTAAAAAGTTGCAGGTGATGGAGGATGAGTTGCAACAAATCTTAGAAATTCGCAGGGTCGGATTTATCGAGTCTGAAGGCCCCTTTGTGAGTCGCTTAACTTAAAAATAAATAAGTGGTATGATAAAAAGATGATTTATAATTTCTTTTCGTACCAATTGCTACAAATGATAACCAAGAGAGAGAAGAAGGTTAAAATTAATCAGTT